CTTTACTATTGATCCGATGTTGTACATAATTTGCTTTTCCCGGACTAAAGTCATCTAGGTAGCACAACCCACCTCTTTTAGTACCATGTCCAATGGTCTCCTTATTGAGAATATCCTAAATAAGATAGAAAGTAGGATATATTAATACCACATAATTAAGTTCTTCGATAGCTCGACTCATCGACATCAATTTGTTTGATAAACATGAAACTAAAAGAGTTGGTATAAAGACATGGAGGGTAATATGTTGACATTTCCAGCCCCGATGAATCGGGTGTGTAGCTCTATTAGCATTAGAAATGTATGTTCCTCGTGGTGATTTCATTTGGGAGAAGTCACTAGAGTCAAAGGTCATATGATCCATAGCCCTAAAGTCAATAATCCGAGTTAGCATCATTGGGAGCTCTAGGGGTACGGAAAACTTATTCATAGTTACCTCTAGCATTGTCCGTGGAATATTCTGTTTGAGGGATGAGAGACGAGTTGAGGCTTAGTGGTGGTGACTAAAGCGACTCTCCTCGTTCCTCCTAGAGGAGTAACTCCTGTTGTATCTAGCTTCTTCCGGACTTGTAACTCATGCCACCGATCGGGGTAACCATGCAATTTAAAGCGGGTGTCTTAAATGTGCTTTGTATTGCTACGGTAAGTACACTTGCCTCTACTAGATTGGCTTTTTGATTTAGTTACGAGTCCTACCTTCACCAAGTATGGTTGTTTCACCCCTTTGGTAGTCATAACGAGCACCACTAGTTGTATTCTCTAGCCCAAATGCCATTACATCTTAGCGAGTGTCTTCCATTCATACATAGGCATAGGCTTGCTCAACGGTGGGGAATGGTTTCAACCGAAGAACATCACTTCTAATATTGTCGAGTCCGTCATCTAATCCATCCAAAAAAACATAAACTCTTTCCTCTTATAAAAGAGAGTTATGTTTTTGTATATCCGATGCATACTCCATTTGATTAGGTTAACGAAAATCAATCTCATGCCATAATCCTTGTAAATCAATATATTATTTCTCATTGGATCCACCCCTTTATCGCATTCGAGTTACCCATCGTCGGAGGTCATACACCCGTGATGAATCGGATCCATCAAAGTATGTAGTAGAAATAGCATCCCGAATCGGTTTAGCCATAGAGAATCGGATGAAGTTCCCGACCAAAGAGGATTCCATTGAGTTAATCAACCATCCTTTCACAATGGCATTCTCGGTTCGCCATTTTAAAAAGATGGGTCTATTTTTAGTGGTCGTGAGCGGTCCTCATTGATGTATCCCGACTTATCTTTGCTCGAGATGTACATCTCAATCACCCGGGACCATAAAGCATAATTAGAGTCATCTAACTTAACACTTATTAGTACTCGTTGTTAGATCAATAGTGGGTGATGAGGTTTGGGCCCACGTCATGTCTTCCGTAATCTCGGTTGTCAAATTATCGATTAAGGATTCGGTAGAGGTATTTGGTGATTGGGTCGGTTTGGGTAGGTCTTCCATGGGTTTTGAATGCGAGTTCCCTTTCTAGGTCAATTCACAAAAAGCCAAGATCTTGCTCTAATACCATGTCAAACCATAAGTTCTCTTTTTATTTTTCTTATTTTTATTCATATGATTTCTTTCCAATATATATACAAATAAAAGAGAGATTGTAGAAAAGGATATACATGATTTTCTAAACTTATAGTTATCCCTTGACCCATGGGATATATATAGCTGTAGTTTTTGTAATTATAGACTTTTAGCTAATTATTCACACCAACAATTGATTCTTCATAACATCTCATATGATTCATAATTTTTTATCAACCTTGAAGAGTAATCCTTCACTGTCTCGGGTTCTTTCATCCCGAGAACTTTAAATTCTCTTCTTAAAGTTAGCGAGCTTAATAGATCTTGCTCTCTCGGTGCCTTGAAATTCTTCTTACAAGAGTTTCTAAGATTGCTTTGTTGTGATTGCACTAACAATCCTTGGAAAAATTATCTCTCGCGATTGCTGAATGTATGATAGTGAGAGCTTTAACATTTTTACTTTTTCTTGATTCTTTTTCTTCGTTGTTCAAGTTGAAACTTCTACTCCCGCAACCGGTGGTTCATAGCCTTGTTTTACAAATTTCCACGACTCATTTTCCATGAGAAAAACTTTCATTTTGACTGACCAAAACTTTTAGTTTTCTCCTTTAAAAAATTAGTGAGGATGCAAGTGAAAGGTCGCTCGAAGCCATTCTTTCTTTCGGCCACTTAAGATCCTTAAAAACGCTAATACACTTGTTGGTTTTTAAACCAATAACAAAGAAACTAAAGAGCAGAAAAAATTAAGTTTGAAATTCTATATTTTTTTCTTTTCATTCATCTATTCTATTTTGGATATAAAAACAAAATTATATACGGAGAAGTAGCTAAACTATTTGAGAGTTCTAACAAAAAAATCTTCACCTAATCCTACTAACTTGCTGCTATAGACTTTTATTATAACTTAAGGACTAGGACATTATTTAGTCTACTAACTCTTAATAATACATTGTGTGTGTGTATCATCATTCTAGCAATAAGGAATGTTGTCTATTTTGGAGAGTCACCGGGGAGCATACCTAGGGAAACTATTACATTATGACTTCGAAAGTGAGACTTCTTAAAAGATTTATAATTTTGAGCAAGGAAAAAGATCATGAGTTATGTGGCGTGATGCTCATCAATGTATTGAGAGTTTGGCTTTGATGGTGTACTTCTATTAGCAATATCCAATTCGGTTAAGTATTCTTATTTGATCCAATATTAAAAAATATTCCATGTTATTATATTGGCCTTTTAACGACTTTATTCTCAATAATCTCTTGAATGATTGCAGTAAGATCATTACATGTAAAAAAAAAAAACGTCAATTAGTTTTAATTCTTACATACTTAGTATACTTTAACCTAGTCTAAGTTCGGTATTTCAATTCCATTTGTTTTCTTTTTCGAATGGAAGAGTTAGAGCCCATTTTTTTTTAATCCTAAAGAAGCTATGTGTTATGTCATGTACCAAAAATGACATATCTAAAGGTTAATTAAGAATGCTAGATAAATCTAGAAGTCTCTAGAGGACATGAGAGTATTGGAAAAACATCTATATTTTCTAAGAGAAATCTAGATATATCTTAAAGAATTCTAAAGAGTCTCTCATTATTATGACATGTACATATGTAGATAATTTTTTTTGTAAATATCTAGATATGAGTATTCTAAAGAATGAATTGTAGTCATTAGATTAAATTGATCCGCCTTGGTTTGGTCAAACCATCCAAGAGAGTGAGATCCAAGAATTGTATTCTAAGAGAGTTGTGATGAAGAGAAATTTTACAAGATTCAAAGAATAATTAATGTACACATACGAGTAATTACTTTATGGGCTTACTTTTGAAAAAATAGATAGACATAAAAAAAAAAAAAAACCTACATCTACATCTATCAAAAGTTATGACAAGATTTTCATGTTGGCTCAAATTTTTTTCTTTTTAATTTTCTCTCTCATTTTTATATCTATCTCTCTTTATATAATAATTTATATTAATTATTTTTGAATATTATAAAATCTCCTTTGTGATGAGAGTAATACAAACTATTTTCTAATATTTTTTTTATGTATTTCTTATTTTACAATTTAGTGTTTGAGAAAAACTTGATGTCGGCTCAAGGGAGAAATGACATATGGCTTAAGGAAGAAATGACATATGGCCCTTTCGCTTTCTTTGTTATGTTTATATGCTTTACCTCATTGGATGTCATTTCCAACAATTCAGACCCCCTTGTCAAAATCGTTTATTGACTGCCTTCGAAATCCCACCTGATCAAATTTAAGTGTGTTTCTGGTTTTTTTTTTTTTTTTTCTTTTGCCTCACACTCTAATAAAATTAGCCTATTAAGATTTAAACAGTGACCTCTGGTTACAGTTTCAGGTTCTCTCACTTCAATGTCTCGCGGCCTTGATGTTACCTGTGCCTGTGGTCTCCTTTTGCCTTCAACCTTGGACCATCGTCCCTATTGATTCTGACCACATTAGTGCTACCTTTGAAACAGCAACTTTTCTTATGATCGCTCCATTGCGTATGAAAATCCTTCGTTCATGTAGTGGATTATTGAGTAAAAGAAGTTCCACACAGACATGTAAGAAATTATTGTAATTACAGTCCTACTACCAAGCAATATGCAACAATTCCTACAATCGGTTTCTCTTGTGAGCTTAGATTAGCTTTTGATCTTTCGAAATCACCTTACAACAAAGTGGCGATTCCTTATTTTCTGATGATTTTACTACTTCAGACTGTCAGATAGGAGACTACTCCCCAAAAAACTGGCTCTTTGGAGGGAGTAGAGAAAGGGGTGATTCCTTATATTTTGATATTGATCTCAAGAACAACTTAAAAAAGTGAAAATGTCATAAATCCCTGATGACTGGTCTATTGAAGGTTTCTGTATATAATTCGAAGAGGGAGATTAATGGGAAGAGACTAATCTCCATTAAGGTTACGCATTTCAACCTTAACGCAATTGCAAGGGCATTTTCTAAGCTGGGTCATGTACTTCTCAAACTCCCGATTTATTTTAGCATCATTGGCTTTCTCAAGAAACACTTACTGAATTAGTTTAAGGAAATGTTTAGCATGGCAGTATATGAAAAGCAAGATTACAGAGCAGCATCGAAATTCTCATGGCTTTATATCTTTAGATACAATCATTTTTAAGCACTGAGTTAGTTGCAGGCTACTAGTGTACAATCGGGAGAGCCTCACTTCCTGTGAATGGAGTTCAACGCTATAGCCAGCTTAGCTCAATATTCAATATAAAAGAGGAAATCTGTGAGAACCCTAACCCCATAAGTACACATGTTGAGATGCTGGGCTAATCTAAAAACCACTAGGACTGCTTGTTCTTCTAAGAGCAGCCATTGTTTTCAGAACTTTTAGCCCACATCTTCAGTCTTGAAGAAAATAAATAAAGGGCAGGATATTTATGGTTTGTCAGACACAACAACGTTCCTCTCCATTGTCTTTATTTTTGTCTTCAAGAAGGTTCCTCGTCAGGGTGTCTTCATTGTTTTGAATTTCCACTCTTTTCTCCTCACTTTTTCCCCACAAAACAGAATAGAGACCAAGCATGATAAGGATTGCACCAATAATCCTGAAATGGTAAGTAGGAAAGTTAGAGACAAAACAGAAGTCTATTCATAAGCTACAAGTTAATTGAAGAATTCCATGAATTTTTAATTTTCCTCTCTCTCTATTCATAAGCTACAAGTTAATTGAAGAATTCCATGAATTTTTAATTTTCCTTTCTCTTCTTTCTTCGAATTTCCACACACCCTCCAGAGTACAACTGATCACCAAGAAATAAAGAAGCCATAATAGCTACCAAAATTGTCTGCATTGGTTGGAAGATAGCAACAAAAACAGGACCACCTTTGTGAATGCACCATGTTTGAAGGGAAATCACTATAGCAGAGGACACAATTCCCTAAACAAGAATGAAATTTGAAAATAAAATTTCATAAAACAATCCAATTTAAATTCAATGCATGCATAAAATAATGGTAGAAAAATAGAAGGGAGAAGACTAAATGTAAGTTAATTATAGGGTATAGGATTGTGAATAGCTCTTCTCCTGATCGAATTTTCCAATGGCTGAAGTCAGTTTCTACAAATGCTGCGTGACCAAGAACTGGATCAGTCCGAAAAAACACGTAAAAGAAGTGACAGAGAGCTTTGCCGGATACTTCTTCAACACAGGAGCCTGCAAAATATCATTTCACATTTTAGCTCATCAGGGCAGCCTGCCCACGATAAGCAGTGCCCAAACAGGAATATGCATCCCCATGTCCAGTTCTGGATTTCCTTTGAAGACCTGTCTTCTTCCATTGGAGTTCCTTGTTCTTGTTGTGTTATCTGATGCAGTAGAGGAGGGCCTTTGTAAAGAGTAATGACAGATGCACCCCCTATACTTGCAATGGTTCCTACAACTTTGGCTAGTCCATCTCTCCTTGAAATGCTAACTTTCTTAAGTCTGAGGAAAGGAAAAGGTATAAGAAATGTGAAATGTATCTTTGGTTCAAGAGAAAGAGAAGAATACTGAATGTAGAGAGTCTGTGTTACCCTAGAGCAGAAGCCATGACAAAAGTAATTGCAGGAACTGAATTTTGCATCGCTGAAGCAAAAGTTGGAGAGGCATAATACAATCCCAAGAGATAAAACCCTTGGTTTGCTGTGATTCTGGGAACAAAGAAAAGACAGTTTAAAACAACAATAGTGGAACCATCACATTTCAACGAACATTCATTTTAGATACCAAGTGTATCTTCTTACCCCAATAATGCTAGAAAGAAGAGTTGAACCAGCACTGAGAAAGTAAGTGGTGGTCTTTCCTTCCTAAAAATGTCAATCCAAAATAGAGAACAAAGGTACATGTCAATCTAAACCAGTATATATATATATATATAGTACCAAAATAGAAATAGAAAAGGAAGCACCAAGCTGAAGACTCACTTCTCAAAGAAATAAGCGAAAGGATCCCTATAAAAGCAATGCAATGATGTTCCTATAAACCGGGTCAACAACTTTGCTAACACCAATGTTTAGTGCCACCCTAGAAACAATGTGAAACCCTGAATAGGACACTGTAGAGCAACTAAGGCCCGAAGAAGTTTCATTTTCTGAGGGAAAACACTCTCATTTGCCATATTGCTCCTCTCCTTATTTTCTGCTCGGCCTTTGGGTTGTAGAGTTGTAGTACAATCACAAAATCTAAAGCTGCTTATATAGTTATGTGTAAATAAAGGTACATGTGTATTTTTCCTTCTAGACTTCTAGTTGGTAGCATTAACATTTTTAATATACGCTATTTGTCAAAATATATTAGTTGATCGACGTTGCATGAAGGTATCAAGCCACCTTTACTTTATATATATTAAATGATCATCTTACTTAAAAGCTTAAGTTGATAGGTGAGACCCACGAACATAATTAACTTGCACATGCCCATATTGTCTTGTACTTAATAGTTAAAAAATTAAGAATGGTGAGACTTGAAATGAAGACCTCTTGGTCAACCAAGCTTTGATATCACATTAAATGACCATCTCAACTAAAAACTTAAACTATTAGGTGAGACTCCAAAATATAATTTATATTAGTCTCTAATAACATATATATCCAATTAGCCACGATATATGATTTTATCAATGCATTATACCACTATGTATCACTGGCTTGTTGGCTAGGTGATATGCATTTCCCTCAAATATCATTTCCTTTGTTGACTTAAGATTTGAATTTTGTTGGGGAGACAATGTCTACGTAAAGCAAGTTGGCCGGATGATTAGAGAGTGAGCATTCGACTTTCAATCGGCAGATCATAAACCCACCCAATGTTTTAGCTAAACATGTTCTTAAGCATTATTGTCCGTGAATTGATAGCGGACACAATAATGTTAGCAATATAAATAAATTTGGTACCAAAATGGAGGTTTGCCTTTTAGATATACTTGGTACTAATTATTTCAACAAAATAAAATTAAGTGTTTTGTTGAAAATTATGTTATAGGTTATGGTTATTGTGAATTTTTATTGGAGCAGAAGGTGGGACAAAGAATCATTGGTTGCATGTGGTCCTTCTTCCATATGATTTGGGTATTCTAATTTATAATCCGTATACAAAAACAACAAGTTGAGAGAGAGAACACATGTTGATAAGATGTAATACTAAATTTTTTACAATGGATCAATCATGTCATGTGTTACTCCTAGATTGAAACTTGTCACAACAGAAAACTACTCCTAATACTAAAGCTATTTTGTTTTTCACTTGCCTCGGAAAATTCAACGATGTAATCTATGAATTTGTTATTTTGTACTAAACTTTCCAAATACGTAATGTGGCTTCACGAGTTAATGAAAAAACCCATGTGACGGTGGTTCCATATGATCAAAGTGTAAAATCTTAAAAATTGACAAAAACTCTTTCTTTTTTTTCGAAAACGACATCATTTTGAGTCTAAAAGAACCAAAATGGTACCATTTTGGTTTTACTCGTAGTAGGGGCTTAGCTACGGTAAAACCACATGCGCTTTTAGTATATGTATAATATCAAAGGATTTGGCGCAAGATAACTGCTGCCTTACATCGAAATTATTGAAGTGAGTAACGAAATTATGTGCGTTTGTTGTGGAGGCAAACTATTAGAGGGCGAAGGAATTTGTGATCGATTTGCATGAGAGACCGATTCGTTGCATGTAGGGACGAGCGAGCAATTGCTAGATGAGGAACAAATAAGACTTTGGACGAGTAGAGAGAAGCTGGAATTGGGATCAGCTGGTGCGAGCAAAAGTGGGAAGTAATTATTGGATTAGGACAAGCGAGGAGTTTGGATGGGGGAGCAACTATGAGTTGTCAAAGGAATTAGAAACAAATGTGAATTGGAGACTAGTTGTTGCTTGTTAGAATTTAAGGCACAATGATGGGCAAGCCGAGGTGCAGCAATATTGGAGAAATTAGACAAAAAATATATATATATATATCCTAATTGGTGCAATCTTTGATGGTGAAAAGTTTGTAATTTGCACAACAGTAGGGCATCAAAGAGGGCATATTTTGTGAATAAGGAAATTTGGACTCCAAGAAACGAACATGTCCGAGTAATATAATTTATTATTTATTATTATTTTTTTTGCAACAGTGCTCAAAGCATGGATATCCAAGATGAAATGGATTATAGCCCAAGAAAATACACGACGGGGATCGAAGATCAATTTTATATTTATTATAGGGTCGAAGACGTGAAAAAGAAAGGCAAACAAAAACCTTTTAAAAAGAATAATTGTTATGAAATAATGAATGTCCATCATCATGTTCATTTACTTTTTATATGCCCACTACTCATGATTCTTAATATGATTCGATTCATCATTGAATATGAAAAATTGAAAGGGTGATGCAATTGATTATTCATAGTCCCTTCCAATTCTCTCTTTAATTTTGAAGCCTATAAATATGCTTGATTGTTCATTAGTTGGTGTACAAGTTTCATAGAGAAAATAAGAGAAACTTTGAAGTTCTTATCACTTATATTCACATTGTAGTGATTTCATTTTCTTGTCATCATTTTCTTCAATTCTCCTAGTATTTTTATTTATTTTATAACACGTTATCAACGCGAAACTCTAACCAATAGAGACAATAGACCATAAGGTATGTGTCTATCAAAAGATTTAATCAATTATTTCAACAATTGGATTTCTTCTACACAAGTGCTCTACCAAAAGATCTAAATTATTTAGATCATTAACGAGTATGTATCTAATTTATTCATGTACTTTAAATCTATTGATATATGAAATATATATTTGAAAAACTTAAATGATCTACTAATGATCTAATATATGTTATTTGAAAAGTTTTAATTTTATTATTATATTTGTTCTTATTTTCTAATATTATTATTATATATTGTATTATAGAATTTTTATCATATCAAACCTCATAAACTTGATTTGGTTACTCTTGATATTTTGAATAAGAATTATTGATTATGAGTGCTTGATTTTGAAAAAAATATTCTCTACTTTTTATGTCTTGGATATGCTCCTGCAGATAGCATATCGAGAAAAAGAGTTTAAGAAATATTTTGGATCAATTTTATATTTGTTAGTGGCTAAATAAAATGAAAAAGAAATAAATCTCATCCAATTAGATCTACTCCATTCCCCGAAGTGAATGTGACAATTTATAATAATTTTAGACATGGATGAAGATGTGGTCATAACCATGGATATGGTCGAAATAATTATCATTATAATCGTAATGACCATAATATTACATCTCACCACCGAAGTGGATAACTATGAAAAAAAATAGATAAAGTCGATAAACCGAAAAATAAATATTATAGATATTGAATGAATGAATATTGATCGTGTACCTATCGTATACCAAAGCACCTCATTGAGGTTTGTCAAGCGTTATTGAAAAATAAAGAATAAAATATGAAGGCTACTTTTATATATCAAAATAATAGCAATTGAAATTAATTACTTGTTAGTTTTTTTATTTATAAATAAAATATTTTATATTTCTTATTTGACTATTTATTTATTTATTTGTGTTTATGAGGAATATATTTATTTATTTATTTTGTATTGATTATTTATTTTATGTTAGTATTATATATGATAATATCAATCTAATAGAAAGCTCTAGAAGAGCAACTATATTATTATCTAAATAGATAGATTTTGAAGGCTCTAGAAGAACGATTATATCATGACTTGAAGAGATAAATTTTTGAAGCTCTAGAAGAGTGAATAAATTATTACTTGAAGAGAAAATGTTTAAAGGCTCTAGAAGAGTCGATATATTATTAGTTGAAGTGACTAATTTAAAAGCTCCAAAAGAGCAAATATGTTATTATCCGAAAGGATAAATTTATTATGAATGATGATTCTCTTCAAAGTCTCATAGAAATTTATTGAGTTTTAAATATAGTCATCCGAATTGATATCATATCAAGATAGCAAATATGAATACTTATATGTTATAACCATTATATCGGGTAGAAAATATCTATCAAAAAATTTATCAATTTTCTCTTTTAATCTTTATTATAAACATTGAAATGAATGACACAAATATTGTAGTAAACCGAAGTTTACTAATTCAAATACTTTTACTATGTGACATGACCAGTTGTGTTATCTTGGATCTTTCATGATACAAAAAAATTATTAAAACATTTATATGAATATTTATTGAAGAGCCGGAAGATTCTTCAATTTAATGAACTTTCATGTTTTGCATGTTGCCAAGGTAAATTGACGATTAAGCCATCATCAAGTAAAATTTAGATTGAATCTCTAGTATTTTAGAATGTATTCAAGGTGATATATATGGATCAATTCATCCACCATGTGGACCATTTAAATATTTTACGATTTTGATAAATGCATCCACAAGATGGTCACATATATACTTATTATCTACTCGAAACCTAACGTTTTCGAGATTGCTAGCAAATATTTTGATTCGAGCATAATTTTCAAATTATGTCATTAATACAAGTCACCTTGATAATGCTAATGAATTTATTTCTCAATCACTAAATTATTATTGATTGGCTATTAAAATAAAGGTTGAATATTATGTTGCTCATGTTCATACTCAAAAAGGTTTAGCAAAATCATTTATCAAAAGGCTCCAATTGATAGCTAAACCATTATGTAAAAATAAAACTCTCCGTTTATGTTTGGGGGCATGCAATCTTACATGCAGCAATACTTATTCACATATGACCCATAAGTTATCAAAAATTCTCTCCTCTTTAATTGATTTATGGTCATGAGCCGATTATTTCTTATTTAAGAATTTTTGGCATTACAGTTTATATCCTTAGTGCTCCTCCATAATGAAATAAAATGAACACTTAAAAGAGATTAGGAATATATGAATTCTCTTTGATAATTCAATCTCTTGATTCATGACCAAGAGGAAATTTTGACAGACTCGATTTATCGACTCGTCATTTTGATGAAATAGTTTTTTCAACATTAGAGGGAGAGAATAAGCAAAATAAGCGATTAAAAATGTTGAAAAAAAAAGAGATTAGATGGAGTACTCTATCTTATATCACCTTGATTCTTGTAAAAGATAATGTGAACTA